AAAAAAAAAAAAAAAAAAAGGAAAGAAAAACAAAGAAAAGAAAATACAAGAAGATTATAATATTAGTTTAAAACAATGATAACAAAGTTGCTTGTTAATTTCTGCTGACCCTGGACATGTCACATATGTGGTAGGTAGAAATCTCCTAACCTATTTTCACTGCCCATTGCTTTACTTTCAGATGGATGATGACAGAATGGACCACGTGCTCAAGAACTTGTGGAAAGGGGGTGCAGAGCAGACAGGTGGCCTGTACCCAGCAACTGAGTAATGGAACTTTAACTAGAGCCCGAGAGAGAGACTGTGTGGGGCCTAGGCCTGCCTCTGCTCAGCGCTGCGAGGGCCAGGACTGCATGACCGTGTGGGAGGCAGGAGTGTGGTCCGAGGTGCAGTACACACCCATTTATTTACCTTTTCCTCCTCCAACTCTTCAGTTTGTACAAAGTCTTGTTGTATCATGTCCAGAATCTCTCTGCATGACAGTTGATATTTTTTGTGTGTTTTTTCATTTTAAAGAGAATATTAAAAACAGAACAATAGCAAAATACCAACAACATAGACAAAAACAAAACAAAGCAAAAACAATAAAAATAATACCGTGTTATTTTAAAATTAGACTACCTATTAAATTTGCTGAAATAACAGGGACACTCAAATAATTTTGAAAATATTTACTTTTCATTCTAAAAATATAAAAACAGCACATTTTGAACACTTAAAAGAGAAAGGAAATTTAGTAATCTTTTTATATTAGTAGAGTATCTTTATACATTATGTGTATTATATTGTTTACATTTAATCACCAGTGCAAGAAACGTAACAGTTTCACCAATTTATAAGTGAAGGTAGTAGAGCTTAAGGAAATTATATAATTTAACCAGAGTCCTACATAAGTCATAGGGCTGGAACTGAGCCAAAGCTGTCTAACTCAGTATACCATGTACCCTGTAATCTGTGACATACTGATATGGTTAATAACAATCCAAGTGGTTTAATTTCTGCTATCATGATGTATATCATCACACAATAATAACTGCCATTCATTGCATGTATTTCCTATTCTAAAGCATTTCAGGTGAGTGTGTGGGTACATAAACCCAAACAGACACACACTTATAAACCTATACACATATGCAAAGCCAAACAATGCACATGCGGCAAAATTATCCATTTATTTAATTTGATTATTAAATAGAATCTGGAAATGACAAACAGAAAATGTACTGGTGAAGCAAGTAGCTATTCTTTTAAAAATAAGGATAAGTTGGCATAGATAATGCAGTTTCCAAACATACTTTAATTAACCTAAACTTCCAAAAGGCACATTAGCAGAGAGCTAAATTTCTTACTTTCTGGTTTTTCTAAGTTGAATTTTGCTGTTTCATAGATACTTTTTCATTTCTAATTTTCCTTTTTTAAAATAAATGCCACATCAGAGTCTACATCAAAATGAATCAGTTCAATATGGAGAGAGGATTCACATGAATTTCAGAGAAAAAAAATTCCCCATCTTCGACTCAACCAAACATTTTTGCAAACTCTTTAAAAGGAAATGGGTCAAAAATATTGTGCTATGCAGATATTTGGCACTAGCCAGGAAAAATAATGTCATAATGCAATTTGCCAGTTGAAAGTATTTTTCTTGTTTTAACTGAATTTAAAACCTGATGTTGTGGTGCAGGGCTCATTTTAATCACTAAATCTAAAACGTTATATATTAGAATTCCAAATGACAATGTATAATCCACTGTATAGCCCAATATTCAAAGTCAGGCTATAAATTATGAAACAATGACTAACTCGTGCAAGATGTAATACACGTTCAATGTCATTAGTTCTGCACTCACATTTTCCGGAATGTAACCGTTGTGAAAGCCTGTAGATGTGAGCAATGCTGTGGGCTCAGCCTCTGCCTGCCTCTGTGGCTCTGAACAATGACTTAGAAGTCAGCATGGTTGTTCCTACATCACATCATTGCTACATGTATGCTCCAGCACTTCCTTTGGACCCACTTCAGACACAAACATAAATTACACTGCCAAGTTTTGCCATAGCTGTTCCACCCTAACTACCCATCACTGCAACCCAAGGCAGTTTGTGGTCCGTTCCGTATAGTCATGGACACCTACTTTTCGAAGATAAGGATGCTGTGTGCGTATTTTATAATAAGGAGAATCCTTTTATAATAAGAAGAATTTTATAATAAGGATATCTAAATTAGATCTGCAGATAATAAGACTGGTGTGCATATTTCATAATAAGAAGAGCAAATGTAAATTAGATTTGTATGCAATAAGACTAATGAAACACATCCCACAAATATGTCGATCTATTATCCCACCATCACAGCTGAGCTTCAATTATTTGTGAAATTAACTAGACTACTTTTGAACTAAATTATATTTTTAATCCATATACTTGTTGATAATAATCATTTCATGTAGGTCTTCTTTTTACTTTTACTGAAATTTTCTCTATTTTGGTTAAAGAAACGTTTGTGAGAAAGGGGAGCCTGTGACAAATTGGCGTCTTTCACTAACAATTAAGGCTAAAGAAAAGAGCATTTCAGCAAAAATAAAATTAAGATGTTCCTTAAATATGTGAAAATTTGATATTAAGTAAATTTTGATACTTTACATTATGACCACTGTATATTATTGGTGTTAAGTTATCTTGGTGTTATATCCCTTTCTGTAATAATGGTCTTTTGTTCCTAAAACAATTTACCTGCAGCACTTTGCTTTAGGCTCTATCTGCCCTGTGTTACACATGCTAACGTGGTGTTAGCCTGAAACTTATCCTTTCTTCTTTTACTTGACTTTCATGTAGGTAATAAACCCATGAGAAGCCATTAGAAACCAATACGTCACAAATCTGTAGGCTTTCCTGATACCAACTCTATCCAAAGCCTCTGATGTTGTCTTTCAGTGTTCTGTCAAGTGTGGCAAAGGTGTACGCCATCGAACCGTGAGGTGCACCAACCCAAGGAAGAAATGTGTCCTGTCCACCAGGCCCAGGGAGGTGGAGGACTGTGAGGACTACTCCAAGTGCTACGTGTGGAGAATGGGCGACTGGTCTAAGGTGAGCATCAGTTTGTGCAGCCCCAGTAGTAGTTTCAGTGATGTCAGCGTTGCCCCAGGAACCATAACCATAGAATATGCAGTTTAAAAGGATTAGAGAGTTGAAGTATAATAATAACAGATCTGTATTATGACATGTTTTGGTTCAAATTCTGGCTGTCTATGCTCATAACCTTCATAGAATTACATGTCTAATATAGTCACTTCATAAATTACTAACAAACCTCAAACTTAAGAGTTCTGGTCAGATCTGGGTGGAAATAGTCTAAAATGCAGGTTTTCAGAAA